TAAAAAACACTGAGATTCCATCTCATTCCAGAAAAAATGGTTAACAATAAATCAACCAGTAACAAATGCTGGTAGGGCTGTGGGTAAAAAGGAACCTTTTTCTATTGTTGATGGGACTGTAGAATAATGGTGCAACCACTGTGGAAATCAGTGTGGAGTAGGATTAGAAGTCCCATTTGACATAGCTATTCCCCTCTTGTGTGTTTTCCCAGAATTAAAAACATCTTACTACAGCAATACGTATGTGTACCTGTTTACAGCAGCACTATTTGTAATAGCTAAATCTTGGAAATAACTCAAATGACCATCAAACAAGGAATGGATAAAAAAAAAATGGGTTTTTAAAAACATATAAAGGAACGCTACTTAGCTATAAAGAAGGATAACTCAAGACTTTTGTAGGAAAATGGATGCAACTTGAGACCATACTCACAAGTAGAATAAATCAGACACTGCATTGTCTCACTAGTGTGAAAAGCTGAAAAGAGTAAATAAGACCCAAAATGTACAAAACTTATTGTGAATGGGAAGAAACTGATCAAAAAGTGGAACTAATGGGAGAAAGAAAAAACAAAGGAGGAAAATACACACACACACACACACACACACACACACACACACATACACTAGTGAACACAGTAATAGAGCTAGTTTCTCTTAGCTCAGTGAAAAAAAGATCTTTGCTAATACTGTTTGGACAATATTTCATGTCTATATCTTGTATTCTGAATAACCACTATGTAGACAAAATCTGCAATATATTAACTATTGGTACTGTCCTACTAGCCTGTTTTGAAATTTTGTATTCTTATTTTTACTTAATGTATTTGTTACAGGATCTCACTACACAGCTTGGACTCATAGTGATCTTTCAGGTTTTTGTCTTTTTTTCTTTAAATGAATTTAGTAAAGGGTCTATAGGGTCTCACTACACAAACTCGTAGTGATCCTCCTGTTTTCAGCCTCCCAAGCCCTGGAATTACAGGTGCACGCCACCAAGCCTAGTCTCACTCACTGTCTCAGCATACCCCAGGGGCAGGGCAGCACACGGCATACCAAGAATAGAAACCCGGCCACTGAGCTCTGCTGAACGAGGAACTTTAGTCCACTGAGCTATCTAGCCAGCCCTGATCCTTCAGTTTTCTGCCTTCCTACCATGGGGATTATAGG